TAAACTGAAAACCGATGGTATATAAACCAAATCAAACTGAAGTACATATAGATTTAGAATAGTAGTTATATTTTAATGATCGAAATACCAAAAAATCGAGCCAAACCGAAACCCGATATCCGGATTGAACACCTCTAATCCGAATGAAACCGAACTATTGTTTCATTTTTAAAAACATAATAAAAATAATAGCTTCATCTCGCGCAAGGCGCGGGTCTTATCCTAGTTATCAACTAATCATCATCAAAATATAATTAAAATTTGTTAACCCTACAATGAAAATCAACCTTTTTTGCTATAAACATAAATAATTAAAAATATAATAAGCTATAATATTTTATAAAAATAAATTATTTATACTTTTGCGTTATCCAAATTCGTTTTCAGTATCTAAAACTCTTTTTCCTGGTCTTAATTAAAATACAGCAATTGGTTAAATTTAATAATTTAGATTTTCAAGACTTTATAGGTTCATAAGGATGATGAAGTGAAATATTTCTTATTCAGCAAATAAAAAAATCCAGGTTTAAAATTTTTTTCGAAAAAATTGTAAATTACATAATCTTACAATTAACAAATTTTATATATTTTTAGAAATAACATAAATTCTACGCTTTCAAAGCACGAATCATAATCTAGTATTAATTAAAATCCTTATCATTTGTAAAAACTAACAAAAATCCAAATAAAATAAAACATTTTTATAATTGGGTTTAAAAAAAATTCAACAAATAAGAGGATAACAAGTGTCATTTTTATCCCCTATGAAGAGAAAAAAACTCTATTTTGTTATATAAAATATGAGGATTTATGTTTTATAAAAAATGGTAAACTTTAATGGTACAATAGTTCATTGCGTGTTTTACGCTATATATATATAGACATAATTATTTTATAACAAATATGTTATATTTTTATATTATAACAATGTAATTTGTTGACAAAAAACAATGTAATTTGTTGACAAAAAAAAATGTAATTACACACTTGTGGCTGAATTAATTAAGCTTATTTTGAAAAGTTGAAGAGAATATCTTTGTGAAATCAACTACATCTTGACTCTGGTTACAAAAAAAACTACATCTTGAGTCACATTTGTTAAACCAGGTGAAAATATTCCAATCATCACGTAGGTAAGGTTTGAATTCAATCATTTCTGGTCTTTATAAATATATTTTCAAAATTGTATCGCTATTTAGTTATATTCACTCCAAAAACAGAACATCTAGAATATCAATTACTTTTACTTCCATGTATTTTTTAAAATGTTTTTTTTCAGATGTAGCCAAATTTATAAATTTTATATTAATGTTCATATTTGGTAAAACCTCAATTTTTTAAAAAAAATTGTGAAATGATAATAATACTAAAAAAAAAAAAATTATCTGTTTTATTTTAAATTTTCGACCTATAAAAAGTGTTTTTTATGTCAACAAAAGAGTGTTTTTTTTTTGTTAAAAGAAACTTTTGTCACACCTTTCTAGAGAAAATAACTGGAAATATACTGATTCATTTTATTTTCAAGAGGATACAAATGATTAATGGCCTCAGTGAATTACAGAATTAATACAAATGGCCGAAGAAACTATCCTATGCTTAATTACTCGCAAATCTTCAGCCCAATTATAAGAAACTGACAATGCTTTTAGGCCCATATCTTAAAACTACCTAATGACTCAGTTTCAATTCTTCTCCGCTGTAGATTCAATTCAGACACCGTTTCTCGCACGAGCGCTTCTATGATAACCCGCTCAATCTCTGCTACGATCTCTTCTCCTTCTTCTTCCAGCTTTTTCTTCTCTAGAAAATGATCAAACTTCGCTGAAGATATCTCTCCGAGAATGGGACAACGTTTACTGCTAATGGAACAGAGCTCCGACCCATGATAGTTCTTCCTCCCTGCTTCTGGACTATTCTCCTCACTTTCGTTCATATGTGGATAATAAACACGAGTTACCTGATTCTGAGGATGTTTTGTGACAGAGATGTTGTTGTCAACATCATCACTTGACTTTGGGACTTTCTTGAACTTCTTGATGTGTAAAGGATTGCTAGCTTTCGCGTATGTTGTTGATTCAGACAATAAAGCCTTTTTTGGTGTTTCAGAAGGCTTTAAAGGACGTTGTGTGAACCTTGTCTCACTCTTTGCCTTCTTGCATTCGTTGATGGGTCTTACTTCCTTCTGTTTTACTCTGTTCTTGCTCTGTTTCTCTCCAGAGGCTTTTGAAACGGGAACAAGGATCACCTTCGTTGGCTTCTGTGTGAATTCTTGTGGTCTGAAAGAAGAAGATGAGGCGCTTGGTTTGTTTTCTTTATTTGAAAACTTGGTTCTTGGTGAGCAAGAAACAGTTGTGTCTCTTCTATGCTCATTACTGTCTTGTAATGGTGTTGCTCCTCTGTTCTTCACCGAGTTTGTTATATCCATACCGACAACTCTTCTGGTGACGACTCTCTCTTTGATATGTTTCAGAATCTGCCTTGGACTCTGAATCTCCTCTTGATCTTGCTGTTTCATCAGTTTCAGTCTTGAACAGCCAAACTCTTCACGCTTGTTCAGCTGAAGAGAGAGGCGGTGAATGTCGAAATCCGATTTCCGAGCAGAGGAGACTCTAGGGCTCTCCGGTAAAGATCTAGTACCTCCACCACCCAAGCGTGTGCCTCTCTTGGGATGGCTTGTGAGACGTCTTGGGAGTGAATGGTTAAGGTTTGTTTTCTCAGGAAGAAGATCAAGACCCATTAGTCTAGCCACCAAGCTTGGTGTTTTGCTCCCTGGTGAGTTGCAGATTTCTGAAGAAGAAGTTGAAGTATCAGTCGCAACAGCTTTGAGTCTTGAACTCGTTGTCTCTGTCCCTGTTCTCACTCGCATTCTTACCTGCAATTTTCAAGGTCATTACCAGATATATTAGCTCCATAAACGTAAGTAAGATAACTATCCCTTACAGGAATGCTCAAATTTTCTTTCTCCTTGTACGTTGCTGATGGTGGAGACTCTTCTGTTAACTTCAAGCCTGCAAATCTCACAATAATATCAACTCCAATTTAGTACCTTCTGCTCTTCTAATCATCTCTCAAGTCAAGAGAGAAGAAACAAATACCTGTTGACCTTGAAGGAGAATCAATGGTGAGATTATGATGAGAAGGGAAGTAGAGGTTTTGGAAATCAAACAAGTGATAAAAAGCACCCATGCACCCATTTGCTTTTCTCTTTGACTTAGTGGACGAGGTTGCTCCGCCGTGGCCGCAGCTTCGTCCCATTTTAAGTATCTAAAAAGCTTACAACCTTCTAAGCTTTAACCTTATTTCACCTCTTGAACACAGTTAAAAGTGACTGTCAGAAAAAAGTTTACAAAAGATTCAAGAACTCTGCCTGAGCAAAGAATGGTTTTGTATTTGTGCAATTCTACCTCCTCCTCTCTCTCTCTCTCTCACATTGGGAATCGCTAAGAAGGTGGTGAAGAATATTTAATGTGACAGGATTTCAAATAGTTGCTGATAGTGAAATTGTAGATAGTTAGTAGTTTAGTGTATTTATTAGATAACGATGGCCACGCATCTCTCCAGGAACAGACAGCTTGAGTGTTTACATTATCATTATATCCGCCCACACGTTATTATGTCTCTCTGTTCTAATTTTTGAACTTCAAATCTTTTTGACAAAAAAAAAAATCCTTTTATTCTTTGGGATTTTCAAACTCTTGAACCCTTTTGTTCTTTCTTAACCATTGTATATTGGAGAAATTAATTTATTTTATTTGTGGCTTACGTAACAGAATATTCTCACTATATGTAAGCAGTGTTTGTTTCATGGTACCAAGATACGGTTAGCTAGGGTACTGTACAATAAAATACATCACCACTATTTTTCAACTATCGAGCTTCGATATCTTTGTATTTTCTTGACTTTGTCTCCTCTCATTACCCATCTTTTGAGTTTTTTTTTTGGTTGTCTTTGGGGCACAACAAAAAGTTCTCTAACACATAATTATACTATAAACAATGTGTTTAGACTCTCTTTGTTCCAAATTATTATAATTTCAGACATAATTGAAACACACAAATTCAAGTTTGACTATAATGGTTAATCCAAGAAACTATTAATGATGAATTTGAGAGCGTTGACAATATTTAAAGCAGTGTTCAAATCGCTGTTAACCTTTGAATCTTGTTTCCACGCTTTTAGAAAAAAATAGTATAGTAGTATTATGTTTTCTATAAATTTGGTTCAATTCATAAACATACTTGTCTCTTATTAGAAGTTTTTTTTGGAGTTGAACTATTTTACATGGAAAAGTTTTGTCTGTTTCTTTACTAGTGATTTAACACAAAGTCACATGTTTCTTTATCATTTAATTAGTTATTTTATTTTATTTTTGATAAAACAAGGGTGCAACACGAGAACATTTGTTTCTTCCACAATTAATACTCTATTATCCAAATTTGTATTTATACATGTACAAGTAGAGCTGCCCTACATTGGCTCTAATTTGAGAGAGTCAGTCCATGCTTTAATAATAAAATGTAGTCAAGAAGAAGATAATGCTGACAGAAAAAAAGAAGATAACTTTTAGTTTTGTAACTGTTAATTGTTATGATTAAAAAGTGACCATTTTGAGATTCTCTCTTTCTTACAAGAGAAGTTGAAGAAACAAGTTCGAAAGTTTATCATCTAGAAATGCAAAGTTTCAAAATTTAGAAATATCATGATATAAACAAATTCTTAACCAACGTTTTTATTATGAATATAATCATATATAAACTTTAATAATAATATATTAAGAAGTGTAAAATGTTTGAGACGGTCCAAGTATTATAGAGCTTTTGTGGGGGTTATTAATTCGTAGAAACGACAATTATACCACTTCAAATGCGATATTCAATTCGTAGAATGAGTATGAAATGTTACACATGGATACATAAAATAGTACCAAAAAGTTCTTTAAGAAATCCATATAATATATGTAAAGTTCATATAGATAAGACCAAACTGTTATGCTCTTAATTACTCAAGTGTGAGTTCTGAGAAAGGCTCTGGATTTTTTCTTTATCCTTTAAAAGTAGGGGTGTTCAATATGGTAATACCGAACCGTACCGAACCGAACCGAACCAAAATAAACAATATGGTTTGCATTTGGTATATACCATATAAACCGAATGAATATGATTTTATAAAAACCGTAGGATTTGGATATGGTTAGGTTTATAACCGATTAAACCGAATAAACCGAACAAAACTGATCAAAGAAAAAATATATAAATATATACATTATATAACCATTTATTTTCTTGGAATAGTCTTTTTTAAAAAAAAATATTCCTTGTGAAGATCTATCTTAATAGTTTTATTTTATTTTCTTCAACTATTATCTAGTTTGATTTTGTATGTTGTAAGAAATTGTGAAATTAGATTGTAACATGTAATTTATTTGGAAGAACAAAGGGAAAATAAGAAAAACTATACAAAACTGAATCGTTGGTCGTTTTGTTTGTTGTTAATTTTATATTTTTATATTTATGAACACCTAGGATTATTTTAATATCTGATAGTTTTGACAATATGTTTTTTTTATTCATATAATATGAAACCAAATCAAATATTAATGTTATTTGGTATAAAACCGAATAAACCGAAAACCGGTAGTATAAATACCGAACCAAACCAAATTAAATATGGTTCCAATATGATAGCTAATTTTTATAAACTGAATAACCGTAAACCGAAAAAAAACGAACCGAAACCGGACCGAACACCAGATTGAACATGCCTATTTAAAAGTGATCAAGAATAAAATGAGGATGATAATATCTGTTCGAAAAAGTTTTAATGTCTAACTGATTTTTTTTTTGTTCAAACAATGTCTAACTGATTAAAAAATAAAAAGGCAAGAAACACATGTTAAACTTTTTTCCTTCGTATTCTCCGTGATCGATGGTATGATCCTAGTCTCATAGAGGTCTTGCATTGAGTATTGTAATGTTACTGGAGTGTTGTCTAAATAATTTCTTTTATCTCATTCGCATGCAAGGAATGTTTGCAAATTTCAGCTCAATCAGTTGTAGGAGTAGCGGTCTCTTTATTATTATATAACATCATGAACAAATTGAGTATTGTTCAACGGTATGGTAACAGTAGATAGTTTAAATTGAAACGTGCATTAAGCAATTAGCGCAATTGCTAAAGCAGCATCTAACTATATATACATCACTCCCTATATAAATATATCTGTGAGTAGTTTTTAGTCAAACTTATTTTAAATATGCTGAATTAAAAATATTTCATAACTTTTCTTTTGATGTAAAAATATTTCATGACTGAAATAATTATTTTGAGTTTGTGGAGATTCTCTAAAACGTGTTGTTTACGAACTTACTGCGCCTCATCATTTCTTCTCTGGAAATTTAATGTCATCTGATAAGTATCAAATGTTATTATATCTTTGTCTTTTCTTTAGTTCCAACGTTTTGCTCTAGCTAATAGACTCCCTTTTTGAAAGACCATGTATGAGAAGCACTAAAAATACTTAAATACTAGTAATTAGCCAGATCCCATGTGCCAAAAAACATTAGTCTAAATAAAACAACAGAAGTTTTGGGGAATGTCTGTTAATATCTATAAAAATAACAAAGAACAACCTAGGAATATACGGTTAACCAAAGTGTTAATGGTCTTGTCTAGAAGTGCAATGAAGTTGGTTTCTCTATTACAAAATATTAATTTTTGAATTAGAATTTCTTAATGCTGACTTCAGATCTATAAAAAATACTAGGTGATAATCCACGCCTTGTGCATAGTGGATGAATTAAAAAATTATTCTCTGATATCTATTAATATTAAAAAGTCAAAAATCACAAATATTATATATAATGAAATATCTTACTATATTGTGCAGATTTATATAATGTAAAGTTATTTGTTTTTTTTAATGAATTTTTTTTTGTAGTTGAATAGTTGCATTGAACTCTATTATATGGAAAAAAAAATATAAGAGTAAATAATTTTTTTTAAAAAAATTGTATTATGAGTTTAAGAAAAAATAAATCATAGGCAATATAATTAATTAATTCATAATATACTTATGCTGATTTAATTAAAACAACATGGGTAATATAAAAATAAAACACTGAATAATGTGATCATTATCTTCAAAACTCCTCGTATGCAATCCTAAAGAGAGAAATAACAATGAATAAGTTTACCAAACAACACACTTATTTACTCTTTTCTATCAATGCATGGTTGAAAGGTTGAAACTGAGATACCAATTCCTTTTTTATTGATGCATGGACTTTATCACTCTGCAAAATAGCCAAAAAAAAAATTCGGATACTAAAGAAATAAGACGTTCATGATGTAAAGAATAGGTTATATATATATAACATTCCCTAATAACCACGTCTAATTTTAATAAAATTAATGCTAAAGGAATATAATATTAATGAACACGCAATATAGGGGATTCATTAGTTTGATTATAAAAGAAAAATTAATAATAAGGAGAAAACTTGGTTCCCAAACTCATCGATTTGATTCATGACCTAAAGTAAATATGGGAGTTGTTTTTCAAAGATTTAATAACCTATACTGAGTTATGCAAGTTTCCTATTTTGTATGAGTGAATTATGTATATTTAGACCAAAATTACTCTTATTTTTAATTCAAAGATTCCAGAAATTTTCTCTTATAAACATAGAAACCCTATTATAGTCTAAGCAAAAAATTTATGTTAAATGTTTAATATACAAACCATACAATCCACATACCCAACCCTATTATAATCTTATCGGCCACCTTCAAAAATCATATACTAAACACAGATTTTGTGTCTAATGTTTTCACATTTACAAATATTACAAATCGACAAAATAGTTAGTCCTTAGTTGATCTATTAACATTTATTGAGATTTCTTAATCTCAAGATTTTGGTGCTTAAGTTAACGGATGCATCAGATTTTTCTTTCGAAACATGGTAATCACTATTTATTATTACGGGTGAAATTTTAACTTAAGGTAAGCACCAATGTTGTAACTTAAGGTCCTATCACCGTAATTACTCATTTCCATTTAGGAAACACGTAATATATAAACGTTTACAATCACCCTAAGTAGGAAAGTGTATTGTAATTGATATGAAATTTCCATAACTAAAAATGATATCAATTTGCACATGCAAATTACGTATGTAATAAACACCACAGTAATGAATATTGATTTCGGTCAATAAAAATTCTTACCACCGATTATTTTGTGACCGGTTATGTAAATAAGATGATCGTAGACAAAATGAAATTTTTATTTCATTTGAATCCGTAGATGATCCATAGACTAAAACATACACATTTCAGCTATACTTTTCATATACTATGCAGAAGAAACTTTGTTCCTTCATTTTAATAAAGCCACTCATTTTGATATATGTGTAAGATAAAATTTATCCAAAATGAAGTTC